GCACACACACACACACACACACACACACAACACACACACACACACACACACACACACACACACACAGGACTGCAGCCGGCTGTGTGTGAGATCTGAGCAGGGCCGGTCTCTCTGAGCTGCAGTCTGACCCGGGTCTCTTTGGTATCGGTGGGTCAGTGGATAACCTGAGCAGGTAACTCTCCAGTTTCTCTGTTGTTCTTTCGCGAACACTGGGAGGACTGAGCTCCGGAGACATGAGCGCTGCACGCAGAGAGGAGGCAGCCGAGACTCGGGGCCCGCAGAGCAAAAGAGGAGACCCGGGAGACCCAGTCCCACAAGGTGAGCCCAGGTCTGGGGTGGGCTCGGTAAGCTCGGGTTTAAAGGTGAATTGTTGAATAGTCTAATATGGTTATTATTTATTGGAGGTGTGTGTGTGTGTGTGTGTGTGTGTGTGTGTGTGTGTGCTGTGTGTGTGTGTGTGTGTGTGTGTGTGTGTGTGGTGGACACTCTTTAACTGACTCAGCTTTAATAACCCCCCCACCCCCCACCCCCTTCCGCCAGAATCCCAGTGGAGATCCCCTCCCAAAGAGACAGGAGGGCCGTCCCAAAGGAAGCAAGAACAAGGGACCACCCAAGGCAGCAACCAAGGTGACAAGGACACACCTGAAGGACAGAGGACACACAGGGTTAGGGTTCAAGTTTCACACTGAGAAACATTAAACCATAAGATCATTAATTCATCAGGGTTCCTGTTTCAAGTCCAAATTAATAATAAACACACACACACTCACGCACACACACACACACACACGCACACTCTTTTTTAGCACACGCTGAACGGTGCGAGAATTATTTAATAACTTTATTTTGTAAAGAAAAAGAGTTATTCACAATGAGGGGCGTGGCCTATCTAATTGACAGACAGGCTGGCATAGGCTCCACCTATGTGTGTTGTTACATTATTGATTAAATATCTTATTAATTATATCTCTCCTGATCTGTTCAGATGTCTGAGGCGAGCGCGGAGAAGAGACCACGAGGACGACCCAGGAAGTGGGTGAGTCTGCTTGAGGCACACACACACACACACACACACACACACACACACACACATTATTGTGAGGTGGTGTAAACTCCCTTTGCATATATTTAAAGTGTTTTCACATCAAACAGGAAGTGATGCTGAAGTTAAAATCCTCGACCGCTGTGACCTTCTCTTCTCTCCTGCAGCCTCAGCAAGACATCCAGAAGACCTCTGCTCAGGTGAGGCACACTCACCTGAAAACACACACGTGAAAATACACATATGATTACACACACAAGAGATTTTCTGCATTATGAACTGAGAGTTAAACTGAATCATCTTGTTTTTCTCTACAGGAAAGAGGGAAGAGGAGGAGGAGAGAGGAGGAGGAGGAGGAGGAGGGGTGCAGGATAAAACCTCCTCCTCATCCTCCTCCTCTTCCTGACCCTCTTCCTCCTCCTGCTGCTCCTCCTCCTCCTCCTCCCCCTCCTCATCCTCCTCCTTTCTCCTGCTTCTCCTCCTCCTCCTCTTTTCTCCTCCTGCTCCTCCTCCTCATCCTGCCCTTCCTCCTTCCTCCTCCTCCTCCTCTGTTGATCGTACAGGTGACAACTTCCTGTTTGATTCTCAGTTTGATCGTGGCAGCTTTAAAACTTCAGCTCATCATAAAGAGAAACCTCAGGGTGGAGACGGCGCGCACACACACACACACACACACACACACACAGGTTGTTGTTGGGTTGATATGATGATGACTGTGTTTACCTGAAGACAGGTGTTGATTGTTATTTTGTTGTCAGAGGAGAAATGATCAATTAATTCAGGCCAAAGTTCAGGATCAATAAATGATCTCGCGAGGGGAAAATGAACATGTTACACACACATGCACAAGCAGCTGTGGACATGCATTAATGGAGGGGTCTCGGAAGGGAGGGGGCTGCCCACAGCGAGCGCTCCAGAGCCGGTGGTGGGGGTCGGTGCATTGCTCCGGGGCACGTCGGCAGTGCTCAGGAGATGGACTGGCACCTCTCCAGCTACCAGGCCAATTTCCAGACTTGGTCCGTGCCGGGACTTGAGCCGGCGTCTCTCCGGTTCCCAACACAAGTTCCTACAGACTGAGCTACTGCCCCCCGCCTCATTAAAGAAGCAAACCTTTATATACTCACTGCTTTTTAATGGAAAGCAATACATAAGAAATATATGTTTTATAATGTTCATGTGTTTGTCTCATCTTTTACAGGGTTCTTAAATCATTTTTGTAGTTTAAGCTCTATGTATAAACCTCTTGTATTTAATATATAGGCTATACCCTATGTACTGTCTATACCTTATATATATAAATATATATAGGAGGTTGTAAGCCGGTAGAATATATGAACTGAGACACGTTTCAGGGAACAGATGAACAGCTGACAAAACCTTGGAAGGAAACAAAACCTTGGAAGGAAACAAAACTTTTTTTATGCTGCCTTTTCCCCCCACTGCGCCACACTCCAGTCCGACAGGTGGCGGTACTGCACCTGGTTAGCAAATCAAAGGCAGAAGAAGAAGGTGGAGGAGTGTCAGTAACTCTACTGTGCAGAGGTGGATGTGTTCTTTTCCACATCTGTTCTTTAATTAATCTTCGTCATGTCTGCGAGAAACCCCGGGACTAAACTCGGTAAGAGACACTAACCTTTACCGGAGCCGTTAATGACGTCACTTCTTTACGTTAAACACGAGCTTCCTGCATTTAAACACGTGTGCTCAGTGTTTCGGGTCAAAGTGTGACCGTGTTAACTGGTGACAGTCCAGGTGAGTAACTGTTTATTAAAGGCTTATCTGAGGAGTAAATGTGACGTCACAATAAAAACTACAGAAAACATAGAAACACACAGGACGCGTTCAAGTCACCAGTTAACACGGTCACTGTTTTAACCTTCACACCGGTATTTATGCATCAGTATCTTACATTAATCATAACATCAGATCTAGTGTTAGTACATGAGTAAATACATGTGTTTAACATGCATGTGTTTCATATACATGTGTTTATATGTGTTTAACAGAACAGAGTCAGTTCAGTCTGATTAATGAGTAACATGTTATAGAGGGGACTGACCTGAAGAAGACACTCAAACACACACACACACACACACACACACACACACACACACACACACACACTTAGCTCGAACAGTAGCTCTGCTGACAGTCAGACTTGAACTTAATGTAGATCTCATGACAGTCAGTCATGACACACACACACACACACACACACACACACACACACACACACACACACACAGGGGCTGAATTACAGAGGAATGCACAAACAGGATAAGAGGGAGGGGAGTGAACAGACCCAATTTCATCTCGGTCTGCACCGGGTCTCATACCGGCGACCCCTTGGTTCCAAACCCAACCCTGTGACTTTAAATAACTACATTTATATCTCATTAACTTGTTTATTTTATTTAACCATGCTTACAGGACGATCATTAGTTAATAAGTGTCCTGTCACTTTAAAAATCATAAAGATTAAACTCTGTTCTTTGTGTTGTTTTTTCCCACAATGCTTTGCTCCTGTGTGTCAGACCTGCAGTGGGTGTCTAAGGTGAGGGTGAACACTCAGGCCGTCCTCAAGAGAGCTCAGCAGATACAGGGATTGAAGACACCGAAGAAACAGTGGCAGGTACTCACCTGTACTCACCTGTACTCACTTGTACTCTCCTGTACTCTCCCGTACTCTCCCGTACTCACCCGTACTCACCCGTACTCTCCTGTACTCTCCTGTACTCTCCTGTACTCTCCTGTACACACCTGTACTCACTTGTACTCTCCTGTACTCTCCTGTACTCTCCTGTACTCTCCTGTACTCACCTGTACTCACCTGTACTCTCCTTTTTACACTGTAGGTGGTGTGGCTCCTGAAGGATGAACATGGAGACACACTGACACTCTGCTAGTCTGTGTCATACTCTCTTTTTGTGTTTCCTTCATGCAGGCAGCGTGGCTCCTGAAGGCGGTCACCTGTATCGACCTGACCACTCTGGCGGGAGATGACACTCCGTCCAACGTCCACCGTCTGTGTCTGAAAGCTGTCCAGCCAATCAGATGTGACCTGCTGAAGAGCATGGACATGCACAACAAAGGTTCACTGCAGACCCACACATATAACAGACACGCACACAACGGACACACACACAACGGACACACACACAACGGACACACACACAACGGACACACACACAGCATGCAAATCAGAAGCCGGCCAGTCGTCAGGTTGGTCTGACGACATGGTAATGCCTGAGTTCATCCAGCAGGGGGTGACACTGTATCATTCTGTACTCTGCTGTATATGTCGTTTTCTAGAGACGATCACAGCAGCACTGTGTGTGTTATGTTGTGTAATGTTGTGTATGTTGTGTATCTCCAGGTGTAACCACAGCAGCAGTGTGTGTGTATCCTGCACGTGTTCCTGATGCTGTTAAATCTCTTAAAGCTGCAAACTCTAGCCTACCTGTGGCTTCAGGTGAGTCACATGACCCTAATACACCTCTCAGGTAAATTACATGACTTTAATACACCTCTCAGGTGAATCACATGACCCGAACAAACCTCTCAGGTGAGCCACATGACCCTAACACACCTCTCAGGTGAGCCACATGACCCTAACACACCTCTCAGGTAAATTACATGACCCTAATACACCTCTCAGGTGAGTCACATGACCCTAACACACCTCTCAGGTAAATTACATGACCCTAATACACCTCTCAGGTGAGCCACATGACCCTAACACACCTCTCAGGTAAATTACATGACCCGAACAAACCTCTCAGGTAAATCACATGACCCTAATACACCTCTCAGGTAAATCACATGACCCTAACACACCTCTCAGGTAAATTACATGACCCGAACACACCTCAATCAAATGCCCCGAGCACATGTACAAACTCACTCCATCTTTACCTGAGTTTCTTCTCAGGCAGCCTGCTGGTAAACTTCCTGTGTGCACTCAGGTGAGCTGATGTGAGTTTCAGAGTGTGGAAAAACCTCTGGATTTACTTTTTAATTGCAGTGTGGAGCTCACCTGAGTCTGAGTCTCACCTGTCTGAACCCTCTATGGTCTGTTTAGTCTATCTATTTTACTCTCTCTCTCTCTCTCTTTCTTTCCCAGTGGCGACTGGTTTCCCAGCAGGTCAGACCCCGTTAGAGACCCGCCTTCAGGAAGTGCGCCTGGCGGTGTCTGATGGAGCGGCAGAGATCGACATCGTCATCAACCGAACACTCGCCATCACGGGACAATGGGAAGGTACGCTGAGGTGACATGACCAAGGAGAAACAGGAAGTGTTTTCAGTCACTCTGAGGTCTGAAGATAAACAACAACATGAGACTTAAATATACAAACATACAAATATGATGCTTATCAACACAGGTCAATAAACACTCAACACACACACCTGCTGAATGGAAGAATGAACACACATGGTGATGAGGTATTTACAGTGTGTTAAGTACCTCTCTCTCTCTCTCTCTCTCGCTCTCTCGGCAGCTCTGTACGATGAGATCTGTCAGTTTCGT